CAGTAGCCTGTTGGAAATGATTTCGATAATGCCCTTGAAAAGTCTATCAACTATATAGAAGCACCGACTGACTTGATATTATTGTCACATAATCAGATCTGATATTTTTTGCCGAGTGAGTGTTACAGATCTTCATACTGATTTTATCGGAGGGATGAAAGCAAGAGAGTTTTGCTGTCGTGATCCGGTCGTATGTGACTTTGATATCCATATTCGTGTGGCTACTTGTTGTTGAGGTGATTCTGCCAAGTTAAATGAAAGGGATGACTTCATGTGGATTTCTCCTATTGATGCTGATTGGCGGTTGTTGTTGCTGTTGCTCAGTGGGACATTTTCATCAACTGCGTCTTCTCAGTGTTCACCTTGAGTCTTATTTTCGCTTCCTTTTCTAACAACTCATTGAGAGATACATCAGACCGTGAATAGTGAAAGGACGGGTATATTCTTGACCAAAAAAGGACTCTTAGAAGATCTGAATTTCGAGGATGATTTATGTTTGGAGTCGGGCAAAAAAGCAGTTAACGAAGCAAAAACCAACTTGTTTGCATTAATTAACATTTTGACTCACCCAGTGACGGCTTCATTCTGCGAACTAATTCCGCTGTGGATTTTTTAACCTTATTCATTATTGTGTCTACGGGCTTCTTAATTTCCTCATATGGACCCATTTCAATATGTTCATTGACTTTCTTGATGTAGTCAGATTTATCCAAAACTACGGTGGCGTTTCCTTTGTCAGCTTTTGCGATGACAATATTTTTATCCTGTTTTAGATTAATTAAAGCTTCTCTTTCCGACTTTGTCAAGTTTGATTTTGCCTTCTTTTGATTTTTTAGGGTTAATGCACATTGTGCTCGAACCTCTTCTGCTGTTGTTTTATCTATTGAACCTAGTGCTACTTCTATGTTAGGAATGACATCCTCTGGTTTTAATTTATTAACTGTTACGTTGAAATTTAGTCCTTTCTCCAGTACTTTTATCTCACTGGAGCTTAGTTCCCTTGGGAACTAAGGAAACTGAGGAAATTAAGAAGCCCGTAGACACAATAATGAATAAGGTTAAAAAATCCACAGCGGAATTAGTACGCAGAATGAAGCCGTCACTGGGTGAGTCAAAATGGTTTAATTTAATGCCTAAAACTAATAATGTTAGAAGGATGTATGGTTCTATTAAAATACATAAGCCAGGTTATCCCATAACAAGAATCAGTGAGATAAAAGTACTGAGAAAGGACTAAATTTCAACGTAACAAAAACCAACTTGTTAAAACTTAATTCAAAGTGAAAGATATCTACATTTACTTGTAGGATTTCATCACTTAGTATCAAACATAACTTTTAGACTTCTATCTCAGGATACAAAGTGGGATGTTTACATGTGAATCAATATTTCTCCAAAATAGTGAAAGGAGGACTGTAAGGAAATAAAGTAGATCTAACTGTCAGTCCTCAACGTATTTTTCAGAAGAATGGATGCAAGACTTCGAAATTAATAAGTCAAGATAAAACTTAGTTGATAATTTTCGGTCATATCATCTGTATTTTTTGACTTTCCGTAGTTGACATTCAATAGACTTATACTTTCGTATATAATTCAGACAAGCAGTCAAAAATTCCACTGTTTACTCTAACCTGTTCCAGTCACTTTTATATTCATACAACTTCATTCTACTTGCTACTATGGAGCTAAACATACAGACTGTACTAGTAGCATATTGTCCAGACATGCACATGAATATCCCCAAATATGGTTCTCAGAAGCAGAAGTTAGAAATTCAATCGTACTATTTCCGAAATCATCTTCTTATGCACCATTCTTTGTCAATAGTGAAATCTTCCAAAATGATATATGAGGAAACACGCTCCTGTCAGTTTAAATTATACAATAATTTGGTATGTAATCCATCCTAATTCGCTTTTGTCTTTTCTCTTCATTCTTTTCTAACTCTCTGATTTTAAAATATAACTTGTGCATATTATGAGCCTTTTACTTTTATGATCAATTTTCTTGTTTCCAAGATCTTATAGTTTTAGTGATAATCTTTCCTGAACTTTGTTCGTCACTCAAATGTTTATTAATGGTATCCATTATTTGCCTTTATTGACATTTAATTTTCAGAACAAGATTCAAATGTACAGCTGTGATGTGAATTCACGAAAAGTATATTCATTTCTGACCTATGTCTTTTCACTTAAACTTTGTGCATATAGGCGTACCCTCTGCCAACAATCTCTTTAAGTATGGAGGTGATGAACAGTTTTAATGTGCAACACAGCTTCTGAATATCTAGGAAACTGAGCCTAAGTGGAAGGTAAAAGGAATCAGCAGGAAGTCATGGATGAAGTTATCATCGTCAAGTGAAATCTGTGGTTCTGAGGAGATTTATATATTTTTCATTGTTCGAAAATACGTTACTCTCAAAATCACAGGATTCATTATCCAAGCTGTTCAGAGTACGAGTTGCCATTGTTAAACTGAATTATGTTTCTCAGGTTGTTACGTGTATGCAACTTGCGTAACTGTCTATTCTCAAGTATGTTAATAGGAATTTATCTTTTAATACATTTACAACAAGATATCTGATTAACATCTTGCGAATAATCTACTGACTGAAACTATTGAAATGTAATCCCCCTAAACATATCAGAAAACCGCATTAAAATCCTTGAGAACCAAGTATTACTGTTATTCTCTCGGGTTCCAAGTGGAACAAACGGTCTCAACAACGCAAGTCCATTTCACTGTTTCCTCTGAATTCCCCTTCCCCTGGCTCCACTATCTGTCGCATGCTTTCATATCTTCCTCACTCTTAGACCTATGACCATGGTTTCCTATTTGGGTTCCATCCAAGGACTTATTTCACGCATGATGTCACTCAGTCGTCTCCTCAGCATGTCTCCAATCCATCTCCGTTTCCTTCCGCATATTTGTTGGTTCCTTGCCAGAGTTCCTTATTGCTGATCCCCTCTGGTCACTGGATCTTCTTTGAGAAATGAAACTAGCAAATAATCTTGTCATAAAAAATATATTACGCCCTACTTCACAGCATCATGTATAACCTACTTGTGGTTTTCATTCAGATAATGAAAGAAGAAATTAAGTAAAATGATGGTTGCTAATGAAATCTTCATTTCATAATTGCTGCTATCTTAACAAAATTAAAATTATAATCTCTCTAATGGTTACATAGCCAACGGAAGAGTTTTTTGATCATCAGTTTTGCATTTCATTACAATTTGCACTAAAATGTAACGAAAAATGGTATTAATCAGAAAAATATTGATTGCTTCTGAGTATTTCATCTGAAAGTTGGTTAACATTTAATTTAAGTTAAGCGGAGTGGAAGTTTTTGTGGGTGACTCTAAACTATAGTAGCCCAAACCGAAACCACCTAGCGAACGGATAAATGACCTTGACAACGACAAGTCTCTATAGGAACGGCGCATAATTTCAATAAAACGTTTATATAAAAGTAATGCAATGTTAAAAATAGTTACAAGGATAGTTCTCGTATATGTTCCAAAACTTTGTCATAGTTATTTTAAACCAAGCCCTGTACATAAACTCATCGAAATAACTGTATATCATTGCATTTCTTGATCTATTCACAGATCTGATCCGTTTTTTGAGGTGACTCCAAAAATTTTCGATGGAATTAGTGTGAGTTCCATCGAAGGGATTGATGAAATCATTTGTATGGTTGACGACGTGATGAATATAGCCCAGGGTTGATAGCTATCTAAAACTACTCCATTCATCTGTATGAATAGTTGTTCTAGGCAGCACTAAGCGTTGGACACTGGGCAATAAGACATTTGCACTGCGATTAGGGATCGCCTCAATGCATCCTTTGTGGAGGGTGGTATCATATGTCCCCAACACCCACTGATGATTTGCACTCAGTCTCCCTCGATTATATTTTCCTTTTATCAGCACTGTCTCATCCACGTGAACAATGACGCCAACTCCACCAAGTACTTGAATCAGCCTGTTCATTTTCCATCATGATATGTCTCTGCAGTACTGGTACCACTGCACTGCAGACACTTCTGAATTTTCTGATTCATACGCTGTTGCTGTTACTGGTCTTTTAAGCACCCAGTTATAACACATCATTAAAATTTTCGTTAGAGGTAATTTAAACTTGGCGAAAAAAGTACCTACGGAATCTGTAAACTAAAAAAGAACGCCATACCTTCTCGAACTGACCTTCTGGTTCGACACTCATCACACCAGTAAACAAATCCATCAATGCACCTAGTATATCTTTGTAAATACATGACACCTCCAAGTTCACACTTTTTCGACCTTCCTATCAGTCTGTTCTCCAAACAGTAATCAAAAACAAGATCTGGAGCGAATTTGCAACACAAAAGGTGTATAGCATCCAAAAGTACGTCTGGATAATACGGAGTCACCTAATTGGTTGCTGAAGGTCATTTATCCGTTCGCTAGGTAGTCTCGGTTTGGGTTGCTATAGTTTAGAGTCACCGTTTTTGTGCTTAAAGTGATGGTTTTCTAGGAAAGAGAATATATATACATATAAGGACTACTCTAACTTGTTCACTCAACCAATTACTTGTAGAATGAATTGAACACAACAATTTCAAAACTCAGTAAATCAAGATGATAGTTTAGTTACATCATTGAATGAGAAACCTGCCTCTTTTCAATGGTGTTAATTTCTCACTTTCCATCAAAGTAGATTAAACACAAATTGTGCAACACAATCCATGCAAAAGTTATACAGGTTGCATTGAAATTAATGTGCATGGATAACTTAAATCCACACACTTAATAAGTAAATTACATAAATTAAGTTTGTAACAATCATGTAGCTAGTTTGTTAACTTTATAATTGTTTTGTGGTTATCGAATTCAACATCATCTTCTAATAATAATAATCATTAATAATGCAAAGCATACTAATTAGACATCGAGAAGCTATTTCACTTCATCTCATCATAATTTACTTCTTAGTATACAAAATAACAGAATCTATGCTACAGTATGGTACTCGTATAAATGTCTATTCAACTGTTTGCAAAGCGTTAACAAGCCAATTGACGAATGAATCTCTTGATGAGTTATGTCATCATCGGAATAAAAATAAAAATCTTCCATCATCATCATCATCTTCTTCTGCTTTCACTGCCAATCTTACAGAGGCTGCTCGAACAAACACGGAAATAAATGCTTCAATGACAATGTCACCTGGATCTACACTACGCCCTATAGATATTGAAATTCAGTATCTATCTGGACTATATCTGTTAGTTTATCGATTTTTATTGAATATACCTGCTGTTATATCATGTTTATTCTATGGTTCATATGCACATAAAATTGGTCATAAGTATATAATGCTGATCCCATGTTTAGGATCTATATCAGCCTGTTTCTTTTTCATTATCAGTCTCTCTTCAAAGTTGAAGTTCATTCCAGATTCGATAATTTTAACATTGATCGGTGCTACATTCTATGGTGTCTGTGGTAAGAGTAGTGCAGTGACTATGGGTGTAAATAGTTATATTTCTGAGAACAGTGTTACACAGAAACGTACACGTATGCTGGCACGATTATTGGGAGTGAATTTTTTAGGACTTTCTTTGGGTACATTATTTCTTGGTGTATTTTATCAATTCTCAAACTATTTTGATCTACTTATATTTGTTATTGTTGGAGATTTATTTGCTATTTTATTGATATTTTTGGCAACTTATCTTAAAAATGATGAAAAGTTGTCATCCTCATCGACAGAATCATCAGTAACCTCAGAAATTTCAAATGAAATAACATCTACCATGACAGAAACATCACCTTCATCCTCTAGTGAAAACCAATTACACGACGATAAAACTGATGAAAATCATAAAGATTCGGGGAATTCACTCAACTATAAAGAGAATATATTATGGTATAAAAGAATACTGCATGGAATAGTTAAACCATTCAAAACTGTGATATCATCATATACATTTTTATTTAAAAAACGTGACAACAATAGACGCCTTTATCTCATCATCATACTTGCTACTATTCTCTTCAAACAAATGGCCAAGTCAGGTGAACAAGATGTTACTCTCCTGTACTTGACCAATGAACCAACCTTGCTGTGGAGTGCTGAACTCTACGCTTTCTATACAGCACTATATTATAGCTTAATGTTTATCCAGTTGATAATTCTATTGCCAATATTGGAGAAGAAATTTGCCTTTCGTGATACAACACTAATACTGATCGGTCTTGTTTCAGAGGCGATACGCCTTTTTGTTACTGGTTTAGTAAAGAATACAGTGATCCTATTCCTCACAGCTGTCTTGGGATCTATGGCCAGTTTTATTACAACATGTACACGTTCACTAATCAGTAAACTTGTTCATGGGGATGAGATGAATGCAAGTTTTGCAGTAATTTCAATACTGGAAACACTAGCTAATCTTATGGGTGGTGCACTGTTCACACTCATTTATAATAAGTCGCTATTATTCTATCCACCTTTTATATTTATTCTATCTGCTGTTTTGAATATTCCCCTGATATTTATTTTCATTTGGTTAAGATATAAACTATTGATTTATGAAGTGTACTGTTCAGAACCTGAGAAAATTTCATCAAATGAAGAGACCGTTGAAAAGAAAAGCGAAACTACGTCCTTATAACATGTGTTGTGTAGGCATTTAGTGTTGGAAACGATGTCACCTTCACTATGTTAGGTTTAAGAAAGCTGCAAAAAAGAATTTCCCTGTGATTACTTTGTATTGTAATTTTTATTATCTTCCTTATGTATCATTTAGTAAATGGAAATTTTTGAACATTATTTTATTATTATTATTATTAATACTTTTCGAAATTAATAATCAAATCATTGGAAGCCGTATTACATGTTAGTCTTATATGTGTTGATGTGGATCAACAAAGTGGATTTATAGCATTTAAATAAGCCGTCGTCTTCTGAGGATTCAAACTTCAGTAAACGGTGAAGACAACGTTTCTCTGAATAAGCTAACCAAATTAACTATCAAATTACAGTGTACAGTACAGTTATGTGAGTTACTTTTATGCTTTATATTAGAAAGCTTAATTTGTTGACTTTAATTAGAATTAGTAACCAGTTAGTTTAAAACAGTACGATTTATATCATTTTAGCCTAACCTGAACAGTTTTCTATGTATTGAAATGCATATGAAACTGAGACAATTGAACTAGAACATTTAAATGCTTTGTGTAAAGAAATATCCAAACTGCTTTCTCATCAAATGGGAGTCTTATTATTCGTAAATTCGGGTGCACTTAGGACGTTTCTGAAAAGCAAGATAATAATGTGCGACTATTTCATTCTGCTGAGGTGTTTAACACCTAAAGTATTCTTTGGAGGCTAATTCCTGAGGTGTTTGCTGTTAATCAAATGCTTTATTGACAGAGGATTCTGTTCATGAATGAAAGGAAATATTACTTTCTCTTTCTATTCAGAATTAACCAGAGTTCATTAGATTCAATAGGAATTCTTTCTTTTACTCGCCACTTTTACATACAATAAATACATTGGAACCCTGTCGTTACAGTTTACTAACACGATATAAATTCTGAAGGTAATTAGATTGTATATTCTAGATAGGGAAATTACTCCCATTCATGTGTAAGATAAAGTTCACTGTGCGTATAAGGAGAAATATTAGCGTTCACAGCGATGCAGTACCTGTGCTTCAGAAACGTTATTCATCCTCTTGCCTGGAATTCTAGTGAGAATTCATGACCAGTGGGACCCACCATTTCGGGTGTGAGCGTAAATACTCGCCGATAATATTGGCTGGTGGTCGCGCCAAAATCACACATCGGTAGAAGTAGGAAATCATACACCAATGGATCGTGTCCCAGTGGCTGAATGGTCTACGAGCTTGCCTTTTAATCAGTAGGTCCTGGGTTCGAACTTCGATAGGTGCGCGCTGATAAAGAGTTCTAGACTAGTACGAAACAACAGCCCAGTAATCACTGGTCTTCAGTGGTCCTCTAGCTGAAATCAGTCTCTGAGGAAACTCAGAATTATCTCTTCATAAACTGAATTAGGAAAGTCATGTGTTTCCATTAATAAACTTGCTAGTCATCGGCTTCGCAATTCGGAAAACTGTATTATGCTATCAGATAATAAAAGCTCAGTTTCACAAATGGTCACTTCTGGGTTTATGGAGAATAGTTTAAGTATACTTAGACCTTTTTGTCATGAGAAAATTAAGTTTATCACTTTCCTTAATCAGTTCTGCTAGTTTTGATCATATTAAGCTAAGGCTTATCAATTAATGGGCATTGGTAGGTGATATTACGAACTTGATTGCTAAATGCCTCAAACTTTTCAGAAAGCACGGATGGTAAGCCTGTATTCTTGAAAAAAACAAATCATTTCATATGGACCTAGAGAGTTGGTTAGATTAATTTTGAACAAACTGAAGAATGATAGTATTGTGGTGAGAGCAAGCTGCTAGCCGATTGGTAGACATTAATCTAGGCTGATTCAACAACCGATCACAGCTGACCTAGACGTGGACAAATATGATTCGCAGACAAGTGGCTCGCATTTCCGAGAAATATCGAAAACGAGAAAGCAGAAGACTGCGTTTGTTTGCAAACAACCAATCAGAAGACCGCCTTCTTTCTGCGGGCAGAAGCCTATTAATGTACGTAAAATACATATAAATACCTGTTGGTTTTCTTAATAAAACGGATCTGTTGCCTGGCCCTTGTCTTCTGTTGTTACAGTATCATCTAACCAGTTATCAGTTAACTTTTAGCAACTCCTTTAGTAACAATAGTATAAAAATGACTCAGAAACACCAGGAATTTGTGTGGATTTCGAAACTACTGTTATCTGTATATTCCATAAATATCCTATTACACTAAAAGACTTATGCAGTTTTATTACACGTGAATGAAAGTTTCTTCTAGATTTAATTATCGAATGCCTTGTTTCAGATATCACTAGTTAAAGAGTTTAAACATTCATCTATAATAATAACACCACGGGGATTATCCTAACGTGTGTTTACTCTTTTCGCACATGCCAACTGCCTTTCGGGAAATGAGTAAGAGCGTTGCTTTTTCGCGAGCCGCCCCAGCGACTGATTCAGTCCCAGGACGAGCCCCCTAAGACGGTCTTTCTTCATATTCACATCTCAGGACACCCTTGGTGGTACGCATATGAACATCTTCTCAGGGACATTTGCGCACAGGAGCCAACCAACCTTGACTCACGGACCGAGATCCCTCCCACCAGGCCACTACCCACAGGCATGAGACACTAGTCGAGCGGACCCCGGCTAACAACATGCACCACGCTGCGCCAGGCGGTATGGGTTATATGCTCTAACAGCCATCCGCTAACCATTTTTTATGGGCCCAAATCCTCTCGTCGAGATTCCCGAAGAACTACTGGTCCCGCCGATGCCCCATACACAGCCATTTGATATAGGCCGATGGACGGCACCACTGCTTCATCAAGACTGAGTAATTAGACGTGGGTGTTGTCTCATGCTGAGCGAACTAGTCTCGGAAATGATCCCTGCGCAGGTCGGCCGAAGGTTCGAATCAAGCTACCCAGTTGGTATTGGGTTGCAAGACTCTCTTCAACATTCTCTCACTCGGTTTTCATGACCAGACTACCGTTCACAGAATGCTCCAGCGCCCCGAAAGACGCCCATCGCCTAAGGAGATAACAGCCAGAACAAACCACATTCGGCATTTCCAAGGGCAAGAAATAGCTCGCTCTAATTCTGATAGGATTTCGCTGAGGCGGCCGGAAAACCACTCCACCCGGCGAGAACCGCGGGAAGTACCTACCAGCGCAACCATGACCTCAGACGCCGACCCGAGGGTGAACTTAGCGCAAGGCCACATGTCTACGTCATGGGACGACATCGGTAACCTGTCATCATTTCGTTATCCCGCCATTACCCATGCTCAGGTGAGTTTCTTCACGTTGATACTCAGAGCACCGGGCGGAATTAGATGACGAGGCATTTGGCTACCTTAAGAGAGTGACAGTTACTCTTTCTAAAAGTTTCTACTTCGCAATCTGGATGTTTCCCCAGTTATATATCAAGTTAGTACAAATGAGGTGATGATAAGTCATAATGGTATGGAAGCGTGTCATAATGACGTTACTGTATATATAGTAAAGGTGATCTTGAGCATAACTGGCTGCTTTGGTAAAAATATGGTTGTTAAACCCTTTAAATCTGTATTTCAAATCGAGGAACTGTCATATTTGGGATTTTATGTGATCATTGAAGATTGTGAACCTTATTGTATATGCTTCAATGCTAATATCTGAAGCTTATCCACTTAACAAATCATGAATACTTGTGCGCCATTATAGATTGTCTATAGTACTACTGTACAGCTCTTTCTAAGCGCGTGATAATTCCTTATATCTTATTCTAGTCACAGATTAATTTAGCGTGGAAACGGAATCAGAGTCATGGAGTAACTCATGTAATCGAATAGTTGAAATTCCCAACGATGTATGTTGAAGCCATTTTCATCCAAACGAGTCAATATCAGCTGTAAGTGCTTTCAAGTGGGCACCGATTCAGTTCGACTATCCGCATTCTGGAAAGACCTTCCAAAGCCAAGCAAACGTATCAGGAGGTTAAGGCGGTACACAGACTTAGGTAACTTCTGTGAATTCAGTAGTAAAATATTACTACCTTTAATTTTTATTGAAAACTGTTTCATGAGAACTAAATGTGATCCCTCCTATCAGATAAAATTAAAATAAGCTTATATTCATCTGAACATATGCAATTACGTAAGACAAAAGATCGAATCAAGGTTGAGTATGAGGATCAGAGTTAGTGAACCTTCGCTAAGTGTCTGAAAATATTTAGTTTCAAATGTGTTATTGGTTAGTGAATCTGTCAAAATCAAAAAAATAAACTAAATACTCTTTCTCGTCTCTTCTGTTGTAATATATATGAGACCGATTAATACAATCGGTTTGATGCTGTAATAAATATAATGGGTATGCGACAGAAAAATCAGAAACATTTTGAAGAATTCCTTCTAATGAATTTTAAATGTTTTAAGTACACAAATGTAACTCATTTGACTGATATGAAGTCAAATATATTAGGTTAACCTTCGTCAAACGCGTCTACTGATAACTGTTAAACGAGAAGAAAGACGTAAAACAGTTCTCTTATGATAACAATAAGTAAATAGTTCATATTACTGAAGTTTTTAAAAGTGCACAATGAATTTTCAAGAGCTGGTTTGTAAGGATTAGATTTGTTTTCGAGTTTGACCACGGATCGATATCAGTTAGAGAACCATTGAAAACCAAGGAGTTGTGACCAATGAGATCCATCCGGTCAAGTGTGAGGATGGATGTCCCGCCAGTGGGCTGGCCATTGAATAGGGTCCCAATAGGCTGAGTGATATACGAGCTTGCCTTGTAACCGGAAGGTCCTGGGTTCGAACGCCGTGTGGTGGGTGCGTACTGCCGATGATTTCCAAACTAGGATGAAACAGCTGGTTGTCCAGTACTCCAGTGCTGGTTTCCAATGGTTCTCTAACCCATGTCGCTCATGATGAAATCCTGTAACTAATAATTATTTGTTTAGGCCATATAAATTAATATGGGTTGTCTATTTTGAGTCTATAAAGTGATGGAAAACAATAATTATAGACGGAGGATAATATAAGTTAGAATAGATAGCTAAGAGATAGGTGCATTCAGTTTAGTAAAATTTCATTCTGTAGTCAAATTTCCCTCTTCTTTGTTCGCCTCATTGAACACTTCAGATTCTTCACATTGTCATCATTGTATTCTACCGCATCACATATCGCTTGATATATGAAATGCGGTTCGGGGGGGGGGGTAATAACCAGCTGCAAACTAACAGTGTATCTACCCGTTTTTTGCACTTATCAGCCACCAGTCAGTATAATAAACAGAAACAAAAGAAAAGTCGATTAAAACACATAAATATCAATTTTTGAATAATTATTTATTCCTCCCAAATATTGTCACTGTGATGGATTTAATTGTCTTCTAGCTAACGCTTCACTATAAAATGCACCACGATGTAAGGCAATTCTCGCAAGCAGTTCATCATGGCTAGAACGTATTCCTGATAGACGTCCAATGTTAACCCATGCAACTTGTTCAGTAGACTCAGATTCCAGAAACACCTTTTTTTGTTAAAAAAAAAAGAAAAAGAAATATAAATAAATATTACAGCAGACAAACATATCATATCCAATTCGGTATTTTGAATTTAAACAGATCAAGGAGTTGAAATTTAATCCCAGTTTCCTTTAAAAAAACAAAATTATTCAGATCACAATATGCGATCTGTTTGACGCCATCATTTGTAGTCAAGAAAGCAAGCATAAACGCATGACAGTATATACAAGTGATTGGATACTACTTACATCAGCCAGTGATTTCTAGCCAAGTCAAAGTGATTTACACACCGGACGGCTCATCAACAGTGTACTCGGTTTTACCCAGTTAAGAGGATCAAAATTAGCAGGGTGGTCATCCAGTGTTTAGATCACCTCAGCCTGGTTAGGTAGCATTACTGGCTGATGTGGGTCCTGGTCAACTCTTCATGTAAATCAGTCAATAAATGGTGCTGAACGTTTAATATAAATATATATATGGTAAACTTCTACCTATTTATTTTTTTGATTATAGCTTGATTTCATACCGTATTTTTGGTACAAGTATGGAATTTTCAGCATGTGATATTGGTAACCCAAATTTTCCAGGCCGACCATTGATATCAGGTATGCATCGGCAGGGATAGAACCCTGGACCATGTGTATGGTCGGCGAGACTATTAACCGCTGTGCCACCGACACACAGTGAAGTTGATAGTTTTAACAGTGTCACACAGACTCCATATTTCGCTGAAAACCTTCGGGTTTAACAAGCTAACAAATGAAATATATCTAAGAGACCTCATCAAACCACGTCATTATCGCTTTAGGTTTTGTCAACTTAGAACAGTGAACACCTTCATATTCATCGATAGAAATTGTTCAGGTTCCATAACTGAATAGTTTCATTTAATACAGCTTATAGGAATAAAGTGGTATTTATTGCCTGATGACATTCCAAGAACAATTCATCAATTTTTGCTTAGCTCATTCACATCCTTCTTGTACATAACGTTGTAACTGAAAAAGAAAGATTTTAGTTTCATCGGTCAACTGTAAAAGCAACATATATGTGAACCTCGTCAACGAATTATTTCTGACGTCTACAGGTGAAAACCAACAAGTTGATGGAAGAAGCAGCGAAGGCAAGACCTCAGATGGAAATATTGAATCAGTCACTGTCATGTCTTTCACTTATTCGGACAATTTCGTTTCAACTACAGGTGGAACAGATGAGAATGTCGAAGCCAGCCAAGATCGAAAAATTGAGGCATATCTTCATTAATTTGAAGTCAATGTAGAAATCTGATGTATTCAGCACAGATAACTCTCCGTTATGGATAAGATTTTATTTTCATAAATCACACAGTGTTGTGCAGTAATAATATTACTGTTGTCTCAGGGTGACATGGAGGAGGTCGTGTGAGGGAGAAATGGAAGCTTATGGAGACAGAGAGAACAGAGTGAAGTGAGGATGTGTTCTCAAAGCTCCATGTTCTACTCGGAACCTGTAGGAAAAATCAATAACAAAAAATCAATCAGTGTAAAAGTCAGTCCTTACTGAAGTGGAGAGGATTATACATGAAGACTGCTAAATAAGATGAAGAACTGGAGAAGATTTGTACCTCAGGTGGATCATTTTGTTGTATTTGTATTCTCTAAGCTGAATGATTCATCTACGAAGCTTTCATTGCTCCAATACTAGCCAACATCTTCAGCACATACTTCAGTTTGTTGAAGTGATTCTTTAGATTTCTCCACGAGTTTATTAGTCATCTCTCCTGGTGACCTGACCTTGAACCTGATTGTTTGTTTTCGTGTGTTTTCACACCCTCTAGGTTACTTGTATTGATACTGATTGTTTTCTTGACCTGAAGTTTGACCCTTTGTGTATGAGACTTCCTTCTTATCGATTGATGAATTTTGTCAATGTCGATGTGTCTATTGATTGATGATTCACTGGAATACCAGGCGTCTAAAAATTCTCTGGCATTCTTGGTGTTTCCTCTGTCTAATATTTGAACGTTGTCCTAGTCGAATTCATGTTCGTGGTTGTCTGTATGCAGTGGTATGAGGTAGTGGATGTCGTGTCTTTTGACGACTAATTTCTGATCATGGATACGAAGACGAAGGGGACGTCCACTTTGGCCAATGTAGTGTTTTCCTCTCAGTCGTTGCAACTTATTTTGTAGATGGTGTTGGTTTTATCTTCTTTCCTTGTTAAGTCTTTTGGTTGACACAGAGCTGAGTGAAGTGGTTCTTTTGGTTTATGTGAGACGTTAATTCCTATATTGTAATAACTGCGAAAAACACTACATTGGTCAAAGTGGACGTCCCCTTCGTCTTCGTATCCATGATCAGAAATTAGTCGTCAAAAGACACGACATCCACTACCTCATACCACTGCATACAGACAACCACGAACATGAATTCGACTAGGACAACGTTCAAATATTAGACAGAGGAAACATCAAGAATGCCAGAGAATTTTTAGACGCCTGGTATTCCAGTGAATCATCAATCAATAGACACATCGACATAGACGAAATTCATCAATCGATAAGAAGGAAGTCTCATACACAAAGGGTCAAACTTCAGGTCAAGAAAACAATCAGTATCAATACAAGTAACCTAGAGGGTGTGAAAACACACGAAAACAAACAATCGGGTTCAAGGTCAGGTCACCAGGAGAGATGACTAATAAACTCGTGGAGAAATCTAAAGGATCACTTCAACAAACTGAAGTATGTGCTGAAGATGTTGGCTAGATGAACCATTCAGCTTAGAGAACACAACTACATCAGTAAAAGATAAAATACACCTGGTAATCATCACTACTTTATAAATAACATCAGGTTAGATGAGTCAAACACCTAGATTACTAATAGCTATTAATGATATGCAATACATGACGTATATTCATAACAGTATTTATTAAACAGGTACATAGTTTCATTACTTATATGTCTCGTTTTCTGTTTACAAGATATTCTTGAAACAATATTCTAAAATTTACCCTCTTAAACTTATATATACTATTGTTCAAACAATCCACAAATGCTCTACTTAATTAGGTATTCTTTCCATTGGTATTCCAATTAAGAATTATTGGGTACTTTTCTGGTTAGATTTAACATTCAAGGAAAAAAAAACAAAGATACATTAACATCATCTTATAACTAGTTTATATTTATTTACAAGAATAAAAATTTTAAATTATTTATGTTACTATAAATTCAACAGTTTTTTTTTGCAGTATATAATTTTCTAAAACAAATAAAACAAAATGAATGAATGTGAAACGACCTAGAGTAATAAAAATCAATATTCAATTGTTAAGAAAAAGTAATTCACTAAAACAAATTAGTTCATCCACACATTGTTGAATAACTTCTTTACTCAATAAATTGTATTTTACAATAGAACATTGGCTTATTTTTATTCTTAAAGTCTGATTATTTCAGAAAATACTAAAAAAATCTTTTTATCAAGTGTTGGTTTGCAGGGAATGGATTGGTTACAGAATCGATCGCTAGTTGATATCAGTTTGAGAGTACTGGACAGCTGTTTCTGTAGTCCTAGTTTGGGTCTCCTCAACAGTTTTCACCCACTGGTGTTTGAACCCGTAACCCTCCGGTTACGAGGAGAGATTGTAGACCATTCAGCCAGTGGGATCTGGCCCAATGGTCCATGAATTCAAGCTTCTGACAATTCGTGATATATATTTAATTGGTTAGGGGATTTCATCATCAGCTGACATCAAGTAGAGAACCATTGGAAAACCTGGGAGTCCTAGAGCGAAACAGCTCTCTAGTACTGCCAGGTTTTCTAATGGTTCTCTAACTGATGTCAGCTCATGATGAAATCCTCCAACCAATCAAACAAAAATCCCTACAAAACAAATACTTGAAAATATATATTTAACGCAACCGCCTACCAGTGTTACGGGCGATTAACTGTTATCTTGTCTACCTTGGTGGACCCCGCTGGTTAAGACTGGCTGGCCTCCGGAAGGTCCTGGGTTTTATTCCCGGTGGGTGCGTACTGTATCTTTATATATTTAATATTTATAAACATTTTTCCATAGACTATAATCAGGCTATAAACAAAAAGAACTATTTTTGATCACAGTCACTTATACTTCAGCAGAATGTTCACCACTACAAAATATTTGCTAGATATTTAAACAAAGTTACATTATCTTGAAGATCAGCAATTTTATTTAAATTTGATAGAATAGAACTGAACTCTTCTTACGTGAATTTTCTTAGCAGATCTATTAGGATCTGAAAAAACCTACACCAAGATATTTCATTATATGGAATGAGTATGTAAACAATCCACCATTTCATATTTAGACGTGACATAAGTAAAATATTGAAAAAAGCTACCAGAAGGCAGTCATGTTTCTTCTTGAGATAAATTTTGTTTATTCAGGTATTGGTTTGCAGGAATTTTGTTCGACTGGTTGAAGGATTTCATCATGAGCTGACATCAGTTAAAGAAACGTTGGAAAACCTGCAGGGAGTACTGGACAACCAGCTGTTTTGTCCTAGTTTGAGACTCTTCACAGTAAGCACCCACCTCCAGGATTCGAACCCACGACCTTCTGGTTATAAGGTGAGCCAGCTCGTAGACCATTAAACCACTGGGACCCGATCCAATGGCGAGACCATGAGTTCCAACTTCTGCCAATTCATAACATAGCGCGACCACTTCGCAATGTCTTCGATGAGTAACCGTCCTCACCTTCAACCTGCTGTACCCTGCTGGTCACGGCTTCCCACTAGAACCCCAGGTCATTTCCTGAGTAGGGTCAGTCGCTAGTGAGCGACGAATTTTGGTTACATTTGATCCTACCTAAAAATAAGCTTTTATGTGATTCGGTGGCGCATCTTATAGCATGACGGAAATCACAATCGTACATTTCAGTAACACCTTCGCTATTTGATGTGACCAGACAATACCTGACGTTTGGTTTTTCCTGTCTGATTGTATTGATGAATGAGGTAATTGTCCTCAATATA